TATAATACCAACCACATATTTCACAGAACTAGGACAAATACTCCAAAAGTTTATATGGGACCAAAAAAGACCCTGAATAGCCACAGCAATCTTGAAAAAGAAAAAAGGAGGAGGGATTACAATACCAGATATCAGGTTATACTACAAAGTCATTGTAACCAAAACAGCCTGGTACTGGCACAAGAACAGGCATATAGATAGATCAATGGAACAGAACAGAGAACCCAGAAATTGACTGAAGACATTATACTCAATTAATATCTGACAAAGGTGGCAAGAGCATACAGTGGAGTCAAGACAGCCTCTTGAATAAATGGTGTTGGGGAAATTGGACAGTTACATTCAAAAAAATAAAGCTAGACCAACAACTTACACCATACACAAGAATAAACTCAAAATAAATAAAAGACTTAAATGTGACTCATGAATTCATAAAAATCCTAGAAGAAAATGTAGGCAATAAAATTTCAGACATCCTGTGCAGTAGAATTTTCACTGATACAATGCCTAAGGCAAGAGAAATAGGAAAAAATTAATAAATGGGACTACATCAAACTAAAAAGCTTCTGTACAGCAAAAGAAACAAGCATCAAAATGGAAAGGAAATTCTCTATTAGGGAGAGCATAATTGCCAATAATACATCAGATAAGGAGTTAATTTCCAAAATATATATAGAGAGTACTCATACAGCTCAACCAAAGGAAGACAAAGAATCCAATTAAAAAATGGGCAGAGGGCCTAAATAGACACCTCTCCAAACAGGACATACAAGTGGCCAAGAGACATATGCAAAAATGCTCAACGTCACTAATCATCAGAGAGAGGCAAATTAAAATCTCACATCTGCCAGAATGGCTGCTATCAACAAATCATCAAACAACAAGTGCTGGTGAGGGTGTGGAGAAAAGCGGACTCTCGTACAATGCTCGTGGGAATGCAGACTGGTGCAGCCACGATGGAAAACAATATCGTGTTACCTCAAAAAATTAAAAATTGAACTGCCATTTGACCCAGGATCCCACTTTTAGGAATACATCCTAAGAAGCCTGAAACACCAATCAGAGAGAATATATGCACCCCTATGTTCATGGAAGTACTATTTACAATTGCTAAGATCTGGAAACAGCCCAAGTGTCCATCAATAGATGAGTGGATAAAAAAGCTGTGGTTCATGTACATAGTAGAATACTATGCAGCTGTAAAAAAGATCTGTATCCTTTAAGATGACATGGAGAGACCTGAAGAGTATTATGCTAAGCGAAATAAGCCAGTCAGAGAAAGACAAGTATCATATGATCTCACTTATTTGTGGAATATAATGAACAAAATAAGCTGATGAACAAAACAGACCCAGAGACATAGAAATAAGGTTCAGACTGACAAACCTCAGAGAAGGTGGGTAGAGGAGAGGGAAGAGAAACCAAGGAACTTATGCATATAAGCATAAACAATGGACACAGACATAATGCTGGGGTGGGGCGGTGCATGAACAGGAGAAGGGTGTCAATGGGGGAAAAAGGAGAAACATCTGTAACAAAAATAAATTAATTAAATATACTTATTTGCTAAAAAAAAAACTTTTCAAAAGAACAAAACAGCAAGAAAGCAAAAGTAAAAGAGAGAATATTGCTCAAAACAATTTATGTGATTCTAGACATTTTTACACTTCTGAATAGCAATTTTAGGACAATGGGGTTATATTTCATTTGTTTCACATACACGTGTAAGACACTATACTAGTATTTTACACTCTGATACAAAAATAATGACGAACTCACCAGATCCTAAAAACCTCACTCTAGAAAGCACCTAGAAGCATTGGTTGAAATAAGAACAAATATCTTTTAAAAGCTCAGCTTAAGGTAAACAAGAGAAATCTCCAAGGGTCAGCAGTAAAAAAAAAGGCTAAAAATTAGAGTGGTAAACTGATTTGAGGCTTGGTTTGCCTTGTGAAGCATTCGTCTAATCTTAGCAAACAAGGAGCTTAGGTGTTTGCCTGTTTAATAAACAAAGTAGACAAAGCCTTAGGTATCGGGCAAGGTAGGGATTGGGAGCTGATTCCTTCATAAGGTCAGGACACCCTCAAAAGCGAGAAAAGATGACAAAGAAGCCTCTCCCCCTTTTAATTCTGGCACAGGCCTTTCTCGTGAGAGTTCTAATTCCCACTACCTTCATGGTCTGGAGAACCAAACAGGAGAAATGAACACATTAAATAAAAGCCTCTGTGACAGCAGAGGCTAATTCCCAAAAAAGAGATCAGCCAGGTAGTCTGTGACAAGGAATGCATTCCTTAACCCACAAGCTTGAGGTGTCTAAACATAACCTCTGCCCAGATAACTGGTCAACCTCTAAAGTATGCAGACACAGGGGCAACTACTGGGAGCAAAGCAAAAAAATTACAATTGAAAACTTTATCAATGACTTCAGTGGCTACACACTGCAGGGAAGGATGACCCCACAGTCTAAGTTCACACAAGTTACTAAAACAAAAACCATTTAGAGTTGTTATAATTATTTATTTATTTATTTATTTTCTGGTTAATCCTCACCCAAGGACATATTTTTCATTGATTTTACATAAAGTGGAATGAGGGGGAGAGAGAGAGAAACATCGATGTGAGAGAGACACATTGACTGATTGCCTCCCATATAATACCGACTGGGGCCAGAGATTCAACCTGTAACCCAGGATGTGCCCTTGACCAGGAATCAAACCCTCCATCCTTTGGTCCACAAGCTGATGCTCTAACCATTGAACCAAACTAGCCAGGGCTGATACAATTCTTCATCAAAAAGGTCCGGTTTTCCACTCTCTCACTCTCAGAAGCATGCCTGCACCATTCCTGTCCCTCTCTTCTTCCCCCCAGGTGTGTTACCTTTGCCTTTCCCTCTCCTAAGCTCCAAAGACCCTTCTTTTGCTTCTATAACTTGTTTCCTGAGCCTACACAGCCCAGCTGGCTCACTTCTACTACCTCTGTAACTTTTTTTTTTTTAATCCTCACCCGAGGATATTTTTCCACTTTTTTGTACAGATAGAGTGGGAGGGAGAGAGAGGAAGGGAGAGAGAGAGAGAAACATCGACGTGAAAGGACACATCGAGTGGCTGCCACCCGCACGACCAACCAGGGCCGGGGACAAACTGCAACCGAAGTATGTACCCTTAGCGGGAACCGAACCCGGGTCTCTCCGGACCGCAGGCCGACGCTCCAACCGCTGAGCCAAACTGGCCAGGGCACCTCTGTAACTTTTAAAATAAACTTTCTCTTATAATTTGAAAAATAAAAGATCCAGTTTTCAACCAAAGATGAGTAAATAGGTAAAGAAACAAAGTATGATCCACACTTTGGAAAAATGCAGTAAACAGAAACTGACCCTGAGTGGACCCAGACAATAGATTTAGCAAATTTCAAAGCAGGTATTATAAATATGATCAAAGAATTAAAGAAGCCCTGGCCAGTTGGGCTCAGCAGTTAGAGTGCCAGCCCGTGGACCAGAGAGCCCTGGGTTCAGTTCCTGCTAAAGGCACATACCTTGGTTGCAGTTCATCCCCGGCCCCAGTAGGGGTCGTGTGGAAGGCAACCAGTTGATGTGTCTCTCTCATGTCGATGTTTCTCTCTCTCTCTCTTATCCCCTCTCTCCCTCCCACTCTATCTGAAGATAGGTGCAAAAATGTCCTCGGGTAAGGATAAAAAAAAAAAGAATTAAAGAAAATTATGCTAACAACTTAATCATAGGGGATCTCAAAAGAGGGATGGAAACTAAAAAAAATTCAAATGGAAATTCTAAATGTAAAAAGTACGATAACTGAAATGAAAAAAAAAATCATGAGATGGCTCAACAACAGATTTGAGATGTCAAAAAAATGAGAGAACTTGAAGATGGATCAACTGATATCACACTCAGAGAGCAGAAAGAAAAGAGATGAAAAGTAAACAGAGCCTCAGTAACCCACGAGACAATGTCAAACCTCCCAACATCTGGTAATGGGATTTCCTAAGAGAAGGAAAAGAGAAATGGGCAGAAAAAATACTGACTGAAAACATCCCAAATTTGATGAAAAGAATTAACTTGTAGATCCAAGAAACTCAACAATACCCAGATAGAATAAACATGAAGAGAACCACTTAGACACACAAACTGCTGAAAGCCAAAGACCAAGAGAAAAATCCTACAAAACTCTGTGCACTGTTTAGAATACAAATATATGTAGAAAACACATGAAGATACACAGATGAATGATAACACCAAATTCAGGATAGGGATGAGATGAGAGTGAGAAAAATATAAACAGAGACTAATATATAGGAAGCTTGAATTGTATTTATAATGATTTATTTGTTAAGCTGGACACTGAGTATAAGGTATGCATTATAACGTTCTCAATAGCTTTCTGAATGTTTCTACTATTTCACCACCAACAAATTATCAAACAGCATTAGGTCCTCTGCTATGTGAAGAGAGATGAGCCCTGGCTGGTTTTGCTCAGTGGTTAGAGTGTCGGCTTGCAATCTAAAGAGACCTGGGTTCGGTTCCCGCTAAGGGCACGTACCTCCGTTGCAGTTTGTTCCCGGCCCTGGTTGGGTTGTGCGGGTGGCAACCACTCGATGTGTCCCTTTCACATCGATGTTGTTTTTCTCTCTCTCTCTCTCTCCCTCCCACTCTATCTGAACAAAAAAATGGAAAAATGTCCTCGGGTGAGGATAAAAAAAAAAGAGGTGAGAGGAAAAACTTAGTTTCATGAAAATATTTTTCACTAGAGTACATTCTCAAATTGTTTCCCTGGACTCATTTAAAACAGGTTATATATACTCTGGTTTCTCTTCAGATCGCATAAATCTTTCGCCTTTTTAAAACAGGTTATAGTTAAAGAGAAACTGCCTCTTAAGTTTTTGATATGTTTTAAGAAGGGCTGCCAATGTAAAGAGTACCTGTGCCCCATTTCAAGTATCAGTCTGCAATATCATACTGAAAATGTCACTGACTTATTTACAGGTTTTACCTTACAGCTCCAGAGCCATTCCACACTGCTGGGCACTGGGAACAATATGGCCATTCCTTTGAATCTAGTCTATTATCAATGGCATCCTAGGGAAGAAAGAATTAACATCATAACGAAAATGTAAATTCCAAGATATTTTTATTTATTTGTTTGTTTTGCATAAAACTCAAAATTAGTATTTATAAGTAAGAAACATACAGATATATAAATACTCAATAAAATAAGGTTAGCCCTTCCTTTGAACCTGACAAATCTTGCTTAAAAAATTAACACAATCTTTTACTAACTTATTAAACCAATATTTATTGCATGCCTCCATTTCTTCATTGGGAGGGTCCCCGCATTGGTGTAAGGATTCCAGGCATCTTATCAAGACCTTTATGTCTAGAGTGCTAGGAATTTCTAAATACCATCTTAGTCCTGACATACCTCTTAGGCTACGGAGAGTCCAGGACTTGCCCTCCACGGTAAGTGACTCTACAACAGGATGTGAACCCCTGGCCCAGGCATACACAAGACAATCCAAAGGGATGAGGGATATTTTCATTTAAAATTTTTTCCTTTTTTTAGGGTTACATTTTATGATGTACTTATGTATATGGATGTACTGTGTACATAGATTATGTTTTATTAGTACAGTAATATGTAGTTTACAAATAAATAGTCATGCTGGTTTACAAATAAATAGTCATGCTGTAAGCTTATGCTCATTTTTTATGGTTAAGTATGTACATGATCAAAAAAAGTTGAAGAAAAAGAAAATGAAATGAAAAAAAAAGTTGAGGAGCACTGATTTACAGCATGGTAATACAAATGGTATTAATGAGCGGGTACAAGGAATTCAGTAGTCCAAGATATTTCAAAAAGACTGCAGGAAGTGAAAAAAACAAGTTTCAGGAGAAATCCTGAAGGCCTTAGATTGCCACTTAGCGAAAAGTATATTTTCTGAGTTTAACACACAAATCTTTGTTAAAGAATTCGAGAAAATCAATTCTTACTTTAAAAATATGAGCCAAAAAAAAACTAGTTAATTCTATATACTTATTATAATTAAAGAAAAAAATCTTATGCTACAGAAAATAAAGTCTAAATTCTTTAAACTTTTCATCTAGGATTAAACATTTGTGAGTGACATAAAATTAGCCAAGCAAAACAGAAAAATCATAGTAATAAATTGTACCCAATTAGATCCCAAAGGAGAGTAGAAACTGGTTTAAATAAAAGGAAAACTGAAATAAATGGAACTATGTAATTATGATTAAAGAATCAATGTCATGATTTGACTGAGTTCACAATACAATTTTTATTAGTTTGTTTTCTAATTTCCTATAATTACATATTTTAAAAATGTTTTTATTGATTTTTTTTTTTTTAAGAGAGAGAGGAATGGGGAGAGAAACATCTATCAGCTGCCTCCTACACGCCCCTTACTGGGGATCGAGCCTGAAACCTGGGCATGTGCCCTGACTGGGAATCAAACTGGGACCTCTCAGTCCATGGGACGACGCTCAAGCCACTGAGCCACACCAGCTGGGCTAATTAAATATTCTCTAAGTGAACAACACTAAAGGCACAGACCATCTATTGGATATAATAGCAAACTATAGTGAGGTTTACATTTTAATCACAAATACATTTCTAAGAATACTAGAGTCTAACACTTTCTACTAGTGGTCATATATAATTTTGTTTTGGACTTTCATTCACATAAATTATATATATTTCTGCTACATATAGTTATTTAAAACAACAACAGTTTTTTTCATAAAGCATGTGTGTGTTGATTTTTGTTTGTTTATTTATTTGGAGGCAAACAGTGGTATTTGTTTGAGGTCTTCAAGGGAAGAATCTTCAAGAGTTTCCTCTCCTCCCATGACCCTAGATATAGCCTTCTTTGGTGGACCCTCCCAATGCTGCAGAAAATTCCTGACCTGTAGATATGCACAGACTGATAGATAAACTTAAAAACAATTAAGAATGCTCTTCAGAAGGGCACTCAGGGAATAAGTAAAATTTAATTAATTTTACCTCCAAAATATCTTTGATATAAGGTGTCCATCGAGAGAGCTGAAAAGTTTCTTCTGCAGACCGATCCTTTCTTAATGGTTTGCTTTGTGTAGACTAATATAATTAGAGGGGAAAAAATTTAAAAACCAACAATTTATTTAGGGCTATTCTTTTATTAAGTTTTCTAACACAAATCATCAAATACTATGTTGTATTACTCAAACTAAGATTGGAAATACCCATTCAAATAATCTGAATAGGTGTGGACACATAACTTCACAGTATTTTTGCTTTAAGGATAAAATTTATAACTGTATCAGAAAATATGTTTACTCGAAAATGCTATAACACTCAATGGGAGTGAGATTCTAAACAGAGTTCTTTCAAAATTTGCTATAAATTAATCACGAAGAGAAAAGCATGAATACAAATTACAACAGAAGCCATAAGATATAAATTCACTAGAAAGATGTACTTGTCCAAATTACTCATATGTGAAAAACAAAATTTTAATTTTTACTTACCAAATCCACAGAGTAAAATTAAGAAGACTGTCCAGATAAATACCCATATAAGAAAACATTTAATGTAAACAACCACACATACATACATATAAGTATATACAAAATGTAAGATTTTTTTACCGGGGGGACAATGGGGACACCAAGATAACTCCAGTTACGAATCATGTCACTCTCATTTTCTATCTTTACATTCTGGATCAACCTGTCCAAATTTTCTTCCGTAGTTCCTTAGATAAGTAAAAATATGAGTCATATAACTGCTACCATAATCATTTCTAGGTTTTAGGTAGTACCCATGAATAACACTTTTTAAATAAAAAACAAACATTTAAGTTATATACCCATCAGTCTTCTCCCAATTTCATATCTTTCCTTTTATCTTAACCAATTTCAGCTACTACCCTTTGAATTTTCTTAGTAAACCACTCACTATAATGTGATTTTAGAGCTGGGTACTCTAATATATTCATGAAAATGAACAAAGTCTCCATTACCATTATTACTGAAGATATAGAGCAGGATTGCTCGTATTTTATCATAATTATCATGATTTTTGTTGAGTAGAACTGGAAGGAGCACTCTCATGGAATCTTTCACCTTCTGTCCTTCTGCATCAGTTCCAAGTGCCAGGTCCTTATAGAAAATGACACAGTCAGTGGTCCACAGCCCACGTTCATTTCAGTCAAAAATCTTGTTAAATTTTAATGGTATACAGGAAATTGTGGGTATCACTTGTAAACTTCTAGGTGTAGAAAATGTAAAAAGTAAAAAAACAATTCAGAGAAAAAGAAAACCATTACTATAAACCTGTGGGAACAGGGTAACCATGACTACATGTGGCTATTGAGTACCTGAAATGTGACTAGTCTGAATTAAGATGTGCTGTAAGTTACAATACCAGATTCTAAAGACTTGGTATGGAGAAAGGAATATATATTTCGCTAACAAATTTTTCATATTGATTTTATGATGAAAGGACAATATTTTGGATATGTTGATTGGATTAAGTTAAATGTATTAGTGGAATTAACTACACTTGTTTCTTTTGACTTTATTATTTTTTTTGTTAATTCTCAGCCGAGGACATTTTTCCATTTTTTATTCAGACAGAGCGGGAGGGAGAGAGAGGAAGAAAGAGAGAGAGAGAAACATCGACATGAAAGGGACACATCGAGTGGCTGCCACCCGCACGACCCAACCAGGGCCGGGGACTAACTGCAACCGAAGTACGTGCCCTTAGCGGGAACCGAACCTGGGTCTCTCTGGACAGCAGGCCAACACTCTAACCGCTGAGCCAAATCGGCCAGGGCCTTTATTATTTTTTAAAATACATTTTTTTTTTATCCTCACCTGAGGACATTTCTCCATTTTTTGTTCAGACAGAGCGGGAAGGAGAGAGAGAGAGAGAAACATCGATGTGGAAGGGACACATCGAGTGGCTGTCACCCACACGACCCAACCAGGGCCGGGGACAAACTGCAACCGAGGTACATGCCCTTAGCGGGAACCGAAGCCGGGTCTCTCTAGATCGCAGTCCGACACTCTAACTGCTGAGCCAAACTGGCCAGGGCTAAAATACATTTTTATTGATTTTTAGAGAAAAAAGGAAGGGAGAGAGAAACATCGATGTGAGAGAAACGTTGATTGGCTGCCTCCTGTGTGTGCACGCACACACACATACAACAGAGGGGATCAAGCCAGCAACCTGGGCATGTGCCTTGAGTGGGAATTGAACCAGGACACGCTCAATTCACTGAGTCACACTGGCTGAGCTCTTTTGACCTTTTTAATGTGACTGACAGAATATTTTAAATTACATATGACTTGCATTCTAACTCTATTCACATCATTGATTTAATAGCTTTGTATTATAGAGGAGACTCTTAAACAAGTTAAATGTGCCTGCACAGTCCTCTGCAGGATGCTACATTCAATACTGCATCCCTGAGAAAGGCCTGTCAACAATGCTACCTGAAATAATGCTCCAAATGCTCAAATCATCTCATTCAATAAAAAACTCATAATCACGACTAGGAGGGACTTGCTTACTATGATACCATACAGTGACTTGTTAATATAGCTGGGGAATGATGTATTAAATATGGCCTAAGAGAGTCTTCTTCTATGAGAGATTCTGTGATTCAGGACACACTGCACTGAGCAAAGTTAATTAAGTTTTACCTTAGAAAGCTAACTCAAAAAATCCATTATAAACATAGGTGTTTTTGACTGTACATACCTGTTCAGTTTTGCAAAGCTTTTCTATATTAGGCTTGAATTTATTCATGCAATCTTCTGCTAAGTTAAGATGAACAACTTGCTGAAAAACAAAAGAAATCAATCATTTAAAGCAGTGATTTTCAACAGGTGTGCTGCAAGAATTTTCAAAACATGTGTAACTGACTATTTAGTCAGAGGCACTGATTTCTTTTCCCTTAGATTGTCAAATAAAAAAAAGACAGCAGCCAACACAACAATAGCTATCCAGTGTGAATGAATCAGAATTATACGAATTTTTTTGGTCAGATCAGAAAAAAAAAAATTTTTTGGTGTGCAGAATTTTCATAATTAATTTCTGTGTGCCATGAGATTAACAAGGTTGAAAATCACTGATTAAAGCATTTTAATTTCTTTGTGTACAATATTAAACTTTTGAGATTGGCCTAAAGGAAAATATGGGCTTGGATGGAAAGAAGGTACCATGGAAAGCAATGAAAAAAAAGCTCAAAAAAAGGAGGAAAAAGTGAAAATTAACATGATCTACAGGGGATAATCAACAGATAACAAAAAATAAAATGAAAGGATTGAATTTCTGTTGGGTGAAAGGTGGAAAAAAAAAATAGTCCAGTCCGAAAAGTCCAGCAGAAAACAATCTCAATTCATATCATTAGTTCTTAATTAGGGTGCAGTATGATTTAAAAAAAGTATCTCTAGAGCCCTGGCTGGTTTGTTTCAGTGGTTAGAGTGTCGGCCCGCAGACCAGAGAGTTCTGGGTTTGGTTCCCACTAAGGGCATGTAGCTTGGTTGAAGTCTGTCCCCAGCCTCGGTTGGGGTCATGCGTGTGGCAACCCGTTGATTTGTCTCTCTCACATCGATGTTTCTCTCTCTTCTTCCCTCTCTCCCTCCTGCTCTACCTGAAGATGGATGCAAAAATGTCCTTGGGTGAGGATAAAAAATTTTTTTTAAAATATCTAAAGAGCGTTGGCAGTTTTCTCAGTGGTTAGAGCACTGGCCCATGGACCAGAGAGTCCTGGATTGGTTCCTGCTAAATGCACATACCTCGGTTGCAGTTTGTCCCCGGCCCTGGCTGGGGTTGTGTGGGTGGAAACCACTCGATGTGTCTCTCTCACATCGGTTTCTCTCTCTCTCTTCCTCTCTCTCTCTCTCCTGCTCTATCTGAAGATAAATGCAAAAATGTTCTCAGGTGAGGATAAAAAAAAAAATCTAAAGATTATTCAGCTAATAACTTGTAAGAATAGGAACAGCAAATAAATAGTGTATCTGCCCACATAGTTTACCTACTCTTTTTTTGTTTTGTTAATCCTCATCTAAGGATATTTTCCATTGACTTTTAGATAGAGTGAAAGGGAGAGAAGGAGAGAAAGAGAGAAAGAAACATTGATGTGAGAGAGATACACCAACTGGTTGCCTCCTGCACGAACCCAACCAGGGCCAAGATCAAACCTGCAAACAAGTCAAGGTATGTGCCCTTGACTGGGAATCGAACCCAAGACCCTTTGGTCCACAGTCCAGCACTCTAACCATTGAGCCAAACCAGCCAGGGTCAGCTTAACGACTCTTAAATCTACTAATGTATAACTATTAACTTAAAGAACCAAGTAGAGTAACAATCACTGGTCAATCCAATGTTGAATTTTGTTGTTAAGTTGATAAATGCTAAACATCTCTATATGGCTATTCAAGACAAAGATAAAAAAGTTTAAGTAGAATATGGATAAATCTAAATATCCTGAATACAGTTGGGAAGCTTAGTTACTTGGGATATTTCTCAGAACTAGAGTAAGGACAACTAACACCAAGTATTCCATGGCATGCACTGCTAAACCTGACTACAGAACTAGATGCACCAATAAATGATAAGGTATCTCACATACAATACTGCTTACCTTAGTAATCTGTTTTCGGAAATGCGGCATCTTTTTCATCAGTTGGGCAAGAGCACTAAGTGATATCTAGGAAAAAAAATAAAACATTTTAAAAGCAAACTTATGATTCAGTTATTCTACATAACAATTTTAAAGTCTTGTAATTTTAAATATTTGTTAATTTACAAGAATATCAAATTTTTTAAGAAAATAAACTTAAGACAATTCCAGTTTAAATCACAATAAAGTAGCTCATATCAAAATTACTCTCCCTCCATAAAAAAATAAATAAATAAAATTGGTTAAAGATAACACCTTGCAGGCAGTGAATAAAAATATGGCTCACAGCTAAGAAAATTGAGCAAAGGAAAGCACAGCACGTGATCCTGCATTAAACTTGGCTTTTCCCTGGAACATTTCCAGAACCCAATGAAAGAAAGTAGAGTTCAAATAGCAAGTCTCTCTAGACAGAGGAAAAAAAGATCACAGTTTGGAGCTAGTAAAGTAGGATTTTGGGGAAAGGGTACTAGAGAGGAAAAAGCCAGTTACAATATAACTCAAAGATGTTTACAGGGACTGCCTTTGGATCCCTGGCCAAATATCTAAGCTGCACATATAAGGGGCATAACTCTTAAAGCTTTAGTAGTGAACTGGTGCTGGGTAGCTAACTGTTGGACAGAGATTTCAGAGGGATTGTAGTGCTACAAAAATACTGGCAAAAGTACAGAGTCCTAAGTAAACATCCCAGACATTCAATCCTAAAACTATGTCTTCAGGCTAAGTGTAAGACTAAGTCACTCAACATAAGAAAACCTACAGGACATCTCAAAAGAATCAAGGTTAATCATGAGTGAATTAACTGTCTGCCAGAACAGAATTCAATATTCTTTGTAGAAAAGTCATCAAGAACCTCTGCAGTGTATCATCATCCATAATGTCTAATGTACAATAAAATATTATTCTGCATGTAAAACAGGAAAAAATGATCAATACTCAAGTGGTAAAATAGTCAATAAAAACAGACCCAAGATGAATCAGATGTTGCAATTAGCATACAAAAACTTCAAATAACATATTTATGTTAAAGAAAGAGAAGAAAAGATGGACTAAATGAATGAAAGGATAGAGTATTTCAACAGAGAATTAAGAATTTATTTTTTAGCCCTGGCCAGTTTGGCTCAGTGGTTAGAGTGTTGGCTTGCAGTCCAGAGAGACCTGGGTTCTGTTCCTGCTAAGGGCACGTACCTCAGTTGCAGTTTGTCCCTGGCCCTGGTTGGGTCATGCGTGCAGGAGGCACCCACTTGATGTGTCACTTTCACATCGATGTCCCTCTCTCTCTCTCTCTCTCTTCCTCTCTCTCCCTTCCTGCCACTCTATCTGAACAAAAATAGAAAAATGTCCTAGAACTAAATGTAATATTTGAAATTAAAAACATAATGAATAACTCTCATACAATCCTGGTGGGACTATAAAATGGTACAGCTACTTTGGAAAACAGTTTGAAACTTTCTTATAAAGTTAAATATACATTTACCATACGACCCAAAAATCACACTCTTTTTTTTTTAATCCTCACCCAAGGATATTTTTATATTTATCTTCAGACAGAGTGAGAGGGAGACAGAAAGAAACACTGATGTGAGAGAGACACATCAATGGGTTGCCAACCGCATAACCCCAACCAGGGCCAGGGATGAACTGCAACTGAGATATGTGCCCTCGGCCGGAATTGAACCTGGGACTCTTTGGTCCGTGGGCTGATGCTCTAACTGCTGAGCCAAAATGACCAGGGAGAAATCCCACTCTTAATTATTTACCCCAGTGAATAGAAACATCTATTCACATAAAACCTGAAAGTTTATAGTGGTTTTATTCATAATTGCCAATAAACTGAAAAAATAAAACTAAATGTTTACAACTTGTGAATAGATAAAGTGTAGTACATCCACATAGTCAAATACTACTAAGCAATAAAAACTGATGAAACTACTGTTACATGCAATGTGGACAAACGTCAAGTGCGTTATGCCAAATGAAAAAAAGCCATACTATCTTATTTCATTTAGATGACATTCTGGAAAAAGGCAAAACTATAGGGACAGAAAACAGATCAGTGGTTGCCAGGGGATCTGAGTAAGGTAGGACACAAGGAAATTTGGGAGGGGAGAGGTGGTAATGGCACTGTTCTATATCTGTTTGTGATTATATGATAGCATACATGTGTCAAAACTCATAGAATTATATACTGTAAGAGAGAACTTTATAATTCAATTTTTTTTTTTTTAATCCTCACCCGAGGACGTTTTTCCATTTTTTGTACAGACAGAGTGGGAGGGAGAGAGAGAAAGAGAGAGAGTGAGAAACATCGATGTGAAAGGGACACATCGAGTGGCCACCACCCACACGACCAACCAGGGCCGGGGACAAACTGCAACCAAGGTACATGCCCTTAGCGGGAACTGAACCTGGGTCTCTCCGGACCGCAGGCGGGTGCTCTAACCGCTGAGCCAAACCGGCCAGGGCTATAATTCAATTTTTTAATAATTCAATTTTATTTATTTTTGTTACAGGTGTTTCTCCTTTTTCCCCTCCAATGACACCCTCCTCCCATTCTTGCTACCCCCCACCCACCATTGTTGTCTATGTTTATATGCATAAGTTCTTTGGTTTATCTCTTCCCTCCCCTCTGCCCACTCCTCTGAAGTTTGTCAGTCTGAACCCTACTTCTATGTCTTTGGGTCTATATAACACAATTTAAAAAAGAATACACTTGATGGGTTTAACAGAAGACTGGACACAATAGAGAGAAAAACAGAAGACTGAAAAGCAGGTTAATAAAAATCCAATTAAAGCAGAGAGAAAAAAATGACAGGAAAAAACAAAAACAAAAGCAGGTAAAGGATGTAAATTATAGTTAAATAATCTAAAACACAAGCAACTGTGTCCTAGAATGAAAGGAGAGAGAGAAAATTACAAAATCAAGATGTGAGGAAATAATGGCCAAGAATTTTGTGATTCAAGAAGCTCAACAAACCAAAGAAGAATAAATATCAAGAAAAACACATCATAGTAAGGCATGTCATAGTCAAATGCTAAAAATCAAAGATAAAAGAAAATCTTTAAAAAGACACTTTATCGCCCTGGCCAGTTTGGCTCTGTGGTGAGAGTGTCAGCCCATGGACCAAAGGGTCAGTGCTCAATTCCCGGTCAAGGGCATGCAGCTGGGTTGTAGGTTGGATCCCTGGCCCTGGTCAGGGTCATGAGGGAGGCAACCAATCAATGTGTCTTTCTCACATTGTTGTTTCTCTCTCTCTCTCTCTCCCCCTCCCTCCTTACCACTCTATTTAAAAAGATACTTCATCAGAAAAACAACAGTAACATGACAGCTGACTTCTTTAACAGAAATTATAGTCAGGTGACATACTGAAATCTTTAAATTGCTGAAAGGAAAAGAAAAGCTGCCAACCGTGAATTCTAAATCCAGCAAAATTATCTCAGAAAATCTTGCAAAATAAAGATATCCTCGAGACTTCCAGTCAAGATGGCAGTGTAGGTAAATGCAGTATCACGTCCTTCTACAACATCAAAGCTACAACTGAACTACAGAATATCATCATTCAAAACTGCCTGAAATCAAGCTGAATGGAAGTCCTACCTACAACTACAAAATTAAAGAAGCCACCTCAAGACTGGTGGGATGGGCTGGTCCCACACCCATGTGTGGCGGATAAAAATCAGGAGGAACACCTCGGCTGGGAAGGTCCTCCCTGAGGACTGAAGGGACCCTGTCCCACACCAGGTGCCCAACTCAAGGTTCCAGTGCCAGGAAGAGAAGTCCCTATAACTTCTGGCTCGAAAAACCAGCAGGAACTGAGGCTGAGGGAGGCTGAGGCTGCTGGAGTCCCAGGCAGCTCCTCTTAAAGGGCCCGTGCATTGACTTACTCAGACTGGTACCCTCCAGGCTCCAGCATGGGGGAGGCAGCTTAAAGGCACCAGAGACATAAGAGGAAGAACTGAGTTGTCTGGCATTGGAGCCAGGCATGGAGAGGCAGCTTTCTCCTGGATAGATGTGCTATCAGAGGCCTTTGTTCCTTTGGTGAGCCCTTTCCTGGAGCAGCAAACAGCTGCCATATTTGGGACTTCAGCAACTTGGCTCACACTGTTTGCCCTGCCCTGATGACTTCCTGCGGCCCCGCCCCACCCAACTTTCAGGCCCACCCAAGCTATTGCCAGCTGCTTTACCATAGGATTGGCCTGTCTTAAATCCTGTTTCAGTTTCCTAAATTCTTTCAAACAAGCAGCATCTGGTCTCAGATAGCCCCATATCTCTTGTTAAGTAACACATAGAAACAAACACAGGGAGGCAGCCAAAATAAGGAGACAAAGAAACAGGTCCCAAATGAAAGAACAGAACAAAACTCCAAGAAATAAACTAAGTGAAATGGAGATAAGCAACCTAACAAATGCAGAGTTCAAAACACTGCTTATAAAGATGTTCAATGAACTTAGTGAGAACTTAAATGAACTTAGTGAGGGCCCCAAGAGCATAAAAAAGGGCCAGTCAGAAATGAAGGAGGTATTAACTGACATAAAGAATAACTTACACAGATTCAATAGTAGAGTAGGTAAAGCCAAGAAGCAAATCATCAATTTGGAATATAAAGAAGCAAAAAACACCCAAACAGAACAGCAAAAAGAAAAAAGAATCCAAAAAAATAAGGATAGTGTAAGGAATCTCTAGGACAACTTCAAGAGTACCAACATTCGCATCTTGGGGGTGCCAGAGGAGAAGAGAGAGAACAAGAAATCAAAAACCTATTTGAAACAATGACAGAAAACTTCCCTAACTTGGTGAAGGAAACAGACAAACAAGCCCAGGAAGTACAGAGAGTCCCAAACAAGATTAACCCCAAGATGCTCACACCCAACACACATCATCATCAAAATGCAAAAGGTTCAAGACAAAGAGAGAATCTTAAAAGCAGCAAGAGAAGAGCAGTTAGTTACCTACAAGTTCGTTCCCATAAGACTGTCAGCTGATTTCTCAAAAGACACTTTGCAGGCCAGAAGGGAGTGGCAAGAAATAT